CGATAGCCTTAATATTGCAAGTCAATTTTAAATTGTCCAAAATCTTAACTGAGGCTTGTTCGGGATTTGGCGAGTTCACTCACAAGTCTCGGATGCCAGTAATGATCGGTGAAAAGGTTGTTACATGTCCACGACATATCAATTCATCTTCTTCATGTTTTTCCTCTCTACCTTTTATGCATCAAAGTCTTCAATAGTTGGTTTTGGAAGTGCAATAAGAGTTGGATCTAGGACATAATAAAGCTTCAAGGTTGGGAGCAAAAACACCATCTTATCTCTCTAGCAAGTGAAATTGGTTCCATCAAATCAGTCAAGTTTGATGAATTCTTGATTCATGAGTTGAATATTGAATTTAGATTAGACTCCATTGAAAGCAACTTTTTAAAATTGTTAGAAAATTAGTAGAAGAAAAAGAGAGAAGAAAGTAGGCTTTAGACATACTGTAACACACTTTTTTTAAAGAGTTGTTGTTTTCTATGGGGATTTGCAGACAAGGACTATCCAGGATACAACAAGCCTTTTATGTAGAATGCTTTAAATGAATGAAGTCTGGTTGAATATACGTTCCTTTTATAAACACTAAAAGGCTGTGTCTAATTTGTTTCAACAAACATGTCTTGTTAAGTTTTAAAAAATGTGTCTGTTTGAAAATAATGAATTGATAATCAATGTATTTAATAGTTATGTTTGAAACCATCTCTTCTTTCTTCAAGAGTCATGTCTTAATATAAATAGTAACTTAATTTGAATAGTCACTTAATTTGAATAATCACATTTGAATAAGACTTTTTTATATTACAAACTATTTAATAGTGAGTTTCATACTTTAAGACTTAGAATTTTTGGAGGCATGATTAGGGTGATGGTCTATATGGGTAGGACCCACAAGACCCAAGCAACCTTTTATCTCATAACATAGTCACATATCAAGCTCTTTAATTGACTTTTTAACATTTAGGTGGTCATGATGTATTGCTAGATGCCGCTTATGATCTAGAAGTATAAATTAATTATCAAATTGCTATTTGATTAGGATTTATATTTATTGCCAACATGTTA